TTAAACCATGGCAACATCTAATGTTTGTCTAGAATTATGTTCAGCAGACTGTGTTCTTCTATTGTTGTGACTTAGATGACGTTCAGAGCACATTTTATGCCCAATTCATGCAAAACTCCACGTAATCCCAAGGGGTTCACATACTTTTTCTTGCAACTGTATACTGATATGGACTGGGTAATGTGTTAGGAACATAAGGATGCCCTATCACTTGATTGAAATGAAAATTATCAATCTACAGAGGACTGAATTCAAAGATACCCCAAAAATCAAAGCGAAAAAATGATGCAGCAGGCCGGTCCATTTTTCTGAAATTTCATTGCAGCAATTCAAAAATGGTACTCAGTAGTTTGTATGGCCCCCACATGCTAGTATGCATGCCTGGAAAAACTAAAATAGGCTGCACACCTAAAAGGCTAACCTCAACAGGTTGAGGCTAGCCTTTTAGGTGTGCAGCCTATTTTCTGTTTTCTTGGTTTTTGCAGTATATTTTAGGTAGCATCCTTCCAAATTACTCTGGTAGCACCTCATCACTCTTTTCTGTATTATTGTGGACTCCCCAGCTTTCCCCATATTTTCCCCCTATTAGTATGCATGCCTGACAACGTCAGGGTATGCTCCTAATGAGACAGCAAATGGTGTCCTGGGGTATTTCCTCCCAGATCTGGACCAGGGCATCACTGAGCTCCTGGACAATCTGAGGTGCAATCCTTGGATGGACTGAAACATGATATCCCAGAGGTGTTCTACTGGATTTAGGTCAGGCGAGCGTGGGGACCATTCAATGGTATCAATTCCTTCATCCAACAGGAACTGCCTACATACTCTCGCCACATGAGGCTGGGCATTGCCATGCACCAAAAGGAACCCAGGACCCACTGCGCTAGCGTAGGGTCTGACAATGGGTCCAAGGATTTCATCCTGATACCTAATGGCAGTCAGAGTGCCATTGTCTAGCCTGTAGAGGTCTGTGCATCCCTCCATGGATATGCCTCCCCAGACCACCACCAAAACGGTCATGGTGAACGATGTTGCAGGCAGCATAACGTTCTCCACAGCTTCTCCAGACCCTTTCACATCTGTCACATGTGCTCAGGGTGAACCTGCTCTCATCTGTGAAAGCACAGGGCGCCGGTGATGGACTTGCCAATCCTGGTGTTCAATGGCAAATGCCAATCGAGCTCTATGGTGCCGGGCAGTAAGCACAGGGCCCACTAGAGGACGTCGGGCCCTCAGGAAGCCTGTTTCTGATTGTATTGTCAGACACACTAGTGGCCTGATGGTCATTTTGTAGGGCTCTGGCAGGGCTGATCCTGTTCTTCCTTGCACAAAGGATCAGATACTGGTCCTGCTGATGGGTTAAGGACCTTCTATGGCCCTGTTCAGCTCTCTTAGAGTAAATGCCTGTCTCCTGGAATCTCCTCCATGCTCTTGAGACTGTGCTGAGAGACACAGCAAACCTTCTGGCAATCGCACGTATTGATCCTAGAGGAGTTGAACTGCCTGTGCAACCCCTGTAGGGTCCAGGTATCGCTTCATGCTACCAGTAGTGACACTGACCCTAGATAAATGCAAAACTAGTGAAAAACAGTCAGAAATTATGAGTAGGGAAAAAAATGCCAGTGGCCTCCACCTGTAAAACCATTCGTATTTTGGGGGTCGTCTCATTGTTGCCCATCTAGTTCATCTGTTGTTAATTTCACTAACACCAAAGCAGCTGAAACGGATTTACCCCCCTTTGCTACTTAACTGACCAGATCATTATCCCAGGATTTTAATTGACATGATGCTATACTCGGATTCAAAGGTGTTCCTTTAATTTTTTTGAGCAATGTATATAGAAAACAAAACCTGGTGCATAGTAAAGTCTAGTTGGACTATGTTGGGGTGTGCAGCTGGTCCGATATCTGTGATCTGAGGGGTGTTGTTGCGAACAACCTGAAAGATTTGTGAATATCGGGGTGTACACTCTTTGAGTGTACCAAGATGGCAAGGATACTTATTCAGTCCTCGATACATTCAGTATCCGGTTGGGAGTAGCAAGATTGCCAACGTCATACATCCAGCCAGGAAATGTAATGAATTGAGAGTAGTAGGCAGAGTTATAACATATAAATGGGTTTGCCAATCACCACAGCCCTATGCCTCTGAGGACAACCAGTGGGGTGGGCGAAACACATTAGTACGGACAGTGGTGACGTCATACCGGTGTTTAAAGTGCACAAGGAGCTGCACTGCCTTCCAAGCCAGTGTTTATGCTCTTTTTATTTTTGAAACACGTGAGTGTAATACCAGTGTAGCTAATTTTATTCAATAAACATAAATCACACTATTTGTCTTTCTCCATTGTTTGCATGCATATAGTCTACTTCATGACGGAACGATAAGCTTCATTTACACCAGGAGGATCACAAGACCCAACAGGAACTCCACATGCCCCATCAAAGCGTCTAGACTCTTGTTTTATTATAAGAGTTCAATATATCTGGTGAGTCGGTGGCCACATAAGAGGGGAGCACAAAGCATGAATCACCTGTTTCTGGGAAGAAGCACTTGCTATTTGCACTAAGGACATTATTTTTTCACAATAAGGTTTTCTTGCTGAGTTGTATTTATGTATGTTTTATCACATTTAGGCAGCGCTTTTATGTGTATTGTTTATGTTTGGAACAACAGTACAGGATAAAATTGTGTCCGAAATTGGGTAAAAGTGCACCAGAAACTTTGGAAATGGTGAAGAAAGCTTATGGAGAAGCTGCGCTATCACCTCCACAAGTGTACCAATGGCACAAGGCCTTCAAGGAAGGAAAAGGTGTTGAAGATGAACAACAATCACCTCTTCATCAAAAATGGAAAAGAATGTGGATGAAGTGAGGTCTGTTCTCAACCGTGACCGACGGCTCACTATCAGAATGGTTGCAGAGGAAACAGGAATTACCAATTTAATTAGTGAAATTGTGACTCAGGATTTGAACATGAGAAAAGTTTGTACAAAACGTGACACTTGATCAGAAGGAACACCGTCAACTCAGTTGCTAAGGCCTGCTGGCCTGATATTTTGAGTCAAGTGATCACGGGAGATGAATCCTGAGTGTTGGAGTACAATCCAGAGATGAAGAAACAAAGTTAAGAGTGACACACGCCCACATCACCTCCTCCCAAGAAATCTCCAATGAGCAAATCATAAGTCAAATGGTCATTGTTTTTTTGATTCATGTGGAATTGTCCATAAGGATTTTGTACCTGCTGGTCAAACTGTGAATCTAAGATTTTACCTGGAAGTTCCAAGTTGCTTGAGGCAGAGTTTTTTGTGTGCATCCTAAGGTTATCTCAAGCTGGATCCTTCATCACGACAACGCACAGTGTCACAGTGCTTTGGCTGTCAGAATTTTTGGCTGAAAAACACATCACAGTGCTTTCCCCTTCCACCCTACAGCCCAGACTTGGCTCCTTGCGACTTTTTCATAATCCCAAAGATGAAGAAGGGTTTGAAAGGACACCATTTTGGTAGTGTGGATAACAGCCAAAGAGCCACTATGCAGGCTTTGAATGCCATCCCACTTGAAGACTTCTAGGGATGGAAAAATCACTGGGAGCATTGTGTACACTCAAAGTACATACTTGGAGACAATGTTCAATTCTAAATTTTTTTCAATACAAATTTTTTAAATATCATTCTCATTACTTTCTGGACACACCTCGTATATACCAGTTTGTAGACACTATAACTTTCACACAAACCAGTATATATACACTTAATGGTATTTTATTTTTTACCAAAGACATGTAGCAGAATACATTTTTGCCTAAATTTATGAAGAAATTTGTTTTTTATTGTTTTATTGGATATATTTATAACAGAAAGTAGAAAATATAACTTAAATGTTTGGTGTTTTTTTGTTTATATAATAAAAAAAAATAAAAAACCCAGTGGTGATCAAATTCCACCAAAAGAAAGCTCTAGTTTGCGAAAAAAGATAAAAATTTATTTTGGGTAGAGTGTAGCATGACCGAGCAATTCCCAGCTAAAGTAGAGCCTAATAGCAAAAAATGCCCTGGTCATGTAGGAGATAAAAACCTTCCAGAGGTCATGTGGTTAAAATAAACAAAACATTTCCAAGACATTTCTACAGAGAATCACAGAACATTCACACCACACGTACATTTCTTTAAAAGCAAATTACCTGAATTTAAGAATACCACATATTTAGCAAGCAAGTGACATGCACACGGCCACTCTCCAGCTTTTCACCAAACTGACAAGTCTTATTAAACCCTAAAGCGAATTTATACATTTCCCTTCGGATCCAAATCATTAGCCTCACTGGGCCGTAGTTCAAGCTGTGGGTCACCTGTCAGTACTGCCCAACTTGACTTGAAAAATTGATTTTTCAATCCACTTCTGTCAAAGGAAAATTGTCGGTGGAACAGTGACTGCATCCAATCAAATGTAGTCACTTTCAAATATTCAGCACCTGCTAACTACAGTAGCCAACAGTGGAGACTCCTTCATCCATGTGGTTCAGTATGGATGGAGAAATCTATTAGGTTTCTCTAATTCAGCATTGAACAAGAAAACTCTTTGTGTGTATGGATAGCTTTACTGCTGTGCCGTGAATAGTCCTGGACTGCAGACTTTCAATTTACATACAGGAACAGTCAAATAAATGATGACACCACTCCATCTTTCCTAGCAGATAAGCCTGTGTGTTTTCAGTTAGGCTGAAGCAGCCAAGACATGAGTGGGAAGATATTTCCTTTACAAAGTATACTGCACCAAGAAAATGAAAGGGATAAGAACAAGATCTGAGTAATAATGTACTATACATTTTATTTTACAGTGTTTTTTTTGTTTTTTTTTAATTCTGTCTAGAAATAAAATTCAAAATGAACATGAAGACAGGTATACAAAGAGAGCAAAATGTCACATTAAAGTTGTTGCTGTCCCTGCTTGTTTGGATCACAGTTATGCACAGGTTTTATTGGCTTCATACTTCTTACTAAGGACATGGTCCAATAAGCTTGTTGAGAAATGCTTCAACCTGATCATCATCTTTGACTCCCACAAACTGATCCACAACACTGCCATTTTTCAGAGCAAGAACTGTTGGTACAGCACTGACCTGCAGAGAAAAAAAAGAAAGTTAATTACATGGAAGGCTATGGGCTAGGGCTATGGGATTTGTGCTGTGCAGAGAGCAGTGCATGTGACTGCAACTAATATGCACTGTTCATTCTAAACTAATGGAAGTCAGGGATAAAAGGAGTGGTACGGATGCTCACAGAGGACATTACAAGGAGACAGAAAAACAGGGTAACGATTTAATGAATAAGATTACAGGGCCATTAAGTGCTGCTGTCTGTCAGTCTCTGGGTGTGCGGCTTCTCTTTCTGTCCTTTCACATCCCCTAGATTTTTGTAAGATCAGATTTTTGGAAAAAGGCTGCATGCATGGGATACATGTTTATTTGTTTCTTAGCCTGAGGGTGTGTTTAGGTGAAGGTAGGGGAGTGTTTTGCATAATTTAATAAGTTTTCGGATAATAAAATAGTTTCTTTGTATATAGTTCTATTTATGTTATTTTCAGAAAAAAGACATTTTCTTTTCTGTTATTTGCTGATATAAGCTTGTTTGGATATATATATATATATATATATATATATATATATATATATATATATATATATGCTTTTATTACTAAGCTGTATGTTTGCAAGATTTTAAATACACAAAAAATGTACAAGGAGACAGAAAAAGAGAGTAAGAAATCATTTAATGAAAAAGATTACAGGGCCATTAAGTAGTGGATGTATATGGATTGCTATTTTGGAGAATAAGGACACCCAGAAGATGCAGTATATGACAAAATGCGGTGGATGGAGCTTCGTGTTGTGATGTCATCACATTACCAGAAGTACCCCCGGAAGTTGGTTTTGGTCTATCTGGATTGTATTACTGGCAGTGCGGTTTTACACTATGTGGGGCGCATGGTCTCCTTTCACTTTTTAACATGTAAACGCACATGTGAATAAATGTTGGAGATGGAGGATTAAAGCGATATATATTCCCTATTTTTGCCAATTTCTCTTGATCGCTCAAACAGAGACATAGACCCAAAAGAACTATTGTGCATCATTTATTGATTAAAAAAATTATATCCCAAACTTTAAAATATTCCACTCACATAGTCAGTGGCCCTCCCTGGCTTCCAGGATGACTGGCTACCACAAAATGCAGGATGCACCGATGTTCCACAACTGATGCGTTGCAAAAATTCACCAAAACCGTTGTAAAGAGTACTGTACATACTGTTCTTTTATAAAGTGAAATCTATGTGAACAAGACCTAAAACTTCTTGAGTCACTGACCTGGAACAAGCATGCAGATCAGGAGCTGTGACTGCACTCTGTCTTTTCAATTTGCATGCATGTTCCTGGTCAGTGAGTACTTAAGTCTAATAAAGCCAGGTAAATAGTATTCTTTCAGGGAACTCCTAGATTGTAAACTGCAAGGAGCAGGGCCCTCCTTTCCCTCTTGTATTGAACTGTATTGTTGCTGTATTGTCTCCCATTATATTGTAAAGCGCTGAGCAAACTGTTGGCGCTATATAAATCCTGTATAATAATAATAACTCAACCATCACAGCCCCCATGTTTCCCTTTGCAGTTAGGTGTGTGCAAAATCAACAAGAAGCAAACTATAGAATGGGGAAGGGGGGTTGTTTGGGGGTGACAGCGCATGTCCATCTCTGGAAGGTTCTCACATCAGCAATTTAACCTGCTTTCACTTGTATATTCCAAATAAGAACAATAACACTTTTACTAGCTAGTATTATTTATATATTTATTTCAGGTACTTATATTGTACATTCATATCAGTCCCTAACCCTGAAGGGGCCTACAATCTAAGGTCCCTAACTCACATTCATACATACACATACTAGGGCTAATTTAGACAGGATCCAATTAACCTACCAGCATGTCTTTGGAGTGTGAGAGGAAACCAAAGTACCCGGAGGAAACCCACGCAAGCACAGGGAGAACATGAAAACTCCAGGCAGGTGGTGCCATGGTTAGGAATCGAACCAGCGACCCCAGTACTGACAGGCGGAAGTGCTAACCATTTAAAGTATAAAGGACACTCAGGCAGGCCATAATATTCTCCAGTAAGCAGCATATTCTCAGTAGTTCATTAGAATGCTAGAGGCATCTGCTATACAAAGGGTGCTTCTTCAGCAATGTGATATGAACAGGGGGCTTATATAGCATCAGATCCTATCAATAGCTCTTAATTTCTTTCATGTTACATGGCAGTACAAAATGTAACCACTACTCGCCATCCACTTACCACTTCCATTGAGGGATTAATCTGGTGGTTGCCATCTCCAAAGAGCCATTCCCTTTAAGGAATTGTTCCAAAGAATTCCATCTACCATGAAGGATGTGTTTGAGCCTTATTTGCTGCCTATAATTTGTGCAGCAACTCTTTCTGGTGAGTGCATTTGGAGTGGTGGTGGAACTTACTGAGGATTTTTGTTGGAGAATCTGATAAATATTGATATTTGACTGGAGAGTGTTTATCACTAGATGAACTGTTATCACCAGTTTCCTTACTCGTTGGACTTTTCTATATGTATGCTTATGTTATGACACTTGATCATGAGTTTTGAGTGCTGCACTTTTTTCACATATAATTTAACACGAGGTGTAGGCATAGTCACCTTTCAGTGCCAGCAGCTGATTTATTTTCCACAAAGCGCTGAATTTTTTCATATTTTTAGTGAATTATTCCTTTGTCTTCCTACTATGCATGACAGCATGTACAAGTACCCTTAAAATACACATTAAAGCGTTAGTTCAGAAAAAAGTGAAAAGGTGAACTACCACCCTACACCTTCCCCAATCCCCTAGTTCCTGCTGTACTTACCTCCCGTAGGTGATGCATTGTCAGTGCAGCTGGTGTAGTGGTCTGGGAATTTGAAATCCCCACTCTTCTCCCCCTGATGTGGCTCAGAGCATTCCTGATTAGTGGCCACTGACTGTGCATCACCTCACAGGAGGTAAGTACAGTGGAGACAGTGTGTGGAGGGGGAGGGGGTTGGGGGTTAGTTTAGTTCACCTTTTCAGAAAAAAATTAAAAGGTAAATACTTTTAATGTACTTGTATGTGTCATTTTTTAACATGAACCCTTCTGTTTTTTTAACTCATTTAGTTTGTGTAATCCACTTATCTGCCTTCTTCATGTATACTGTTCTGACATGTTTGGCTATGGTATGTACACATTAAGCATGGGTCTGCTAAGCTGAAATGTAATTCTCTTTGCTGTGTGTAGAATGGTATTACCTTGACGTACTAGAAAGGTTTTTATGTTACAAACAAGTTGAAAATTAAAAGCTCCTTCACCTACAATGCACAAAAGATATGTTTCATATATAGACATAGGAGGCTGCAATGTCCCAAATCCAGTTTGACAGGAATCTCAAATGACAGCACCTGAAGGAGGCCATAAGTGAGATTAGTACACTGTTGACTTGATTATCTCACTGCAGGCTGTATATTACAGACTAAATCCCTACATAAACAGAATGTGAATGCATAAAGGCACTTTAGTATTGTATAGTCATACATAAGTCACCAAATTACTCGGATTAGAAGCACAGTAAAACACATTCCCTAGTCCTCTTCTAGCTTTAGGCTGGCTTCACATTAGTGCATTAAAGCATGGAACTCAGGCCTGGTTTAGATTTTCAGAATTTCTCCACCAATTATATTATACTTATATGGTCTTTGCTGTTTAATTTAGCACTTGGAAAGCCTGTGACTAGATCTCTCAATTGTGTTCAGAATTTTTATGAACTTACCAACTGCCTATGTAATGCATTCCTCCTGTGTATGATGTTGTCTTATTAATTTCAATGTACAACACAGGTGCATGTATTTCTTAGCACTGATGTTACTTTATGCCCATTTCAGTATTTATGTAAACTCTTTTGGATTAAAAAATATATCACTGGTGCCATACTGGTGAATTTCTGTACTTCTTTATTCCAAATATTTCTAAAATATGCTGGTGCTTCAATTTACAGACAGGTAGCCTGTTCCACATTTCCTAGCAGTTTAAACAACTTTCTTGACCAAGGGAAGCCAACCTGAACCTGATCTACCTGAACAACATGAAAGAGATCTACCTGAACAACATGAAAGAGATCTACCTGAACAACATGAAAGAGATCTACCTGAACAACATGAAAGAGATCTACCTGAACAACATGAAAGAGATCTACCTGAACAACATGAAAGAGATCTACCTGAACAACATGAAAGAGATCTACCTGAACAACATGAAAGAGATCTACCTGAACAACAGGAAAGAGATCTACCTGAACAAACATGAAAGAGATCTACGTGAACAACATGAAAGAGATCTACGTGAACAACATGAAAGAGATTTACATGAACAACATGAAAGAGATTTACATGAACAACATGAAAGATCTACCTGAACAAGATGAAAGAGCTCAAAGGTTTAGTGCCCCCCTTTTTTTAAAGAGTTAACTATCAAGGACAAACTAAATAGTAAGGAAAAAATATACTTAAACAAATGTCATTGTAAAAATATAAACTTAGCCAACCTTAAAAGTGGATGGTGTCAGTCAGTAGAGCAGTGGACAGTGCCAGCAGGGAAGTGGACGGTGTGTGGACAGAATCAATAGGGCAGTGGATGGTGTCAGTGAGGCAAAGGACGGTGTCAGTCAGTAGAGCAGCCAACAGGAGAAGGTAAGCTGGCCATGCTGAGAGGTTGGGGGATGTAATGGGGGGCTGGAAAAGAAAGGGGAACCTGGACTGGAGGGATAGTGGGGGTGGCATTTACCAGAACCAATCCCCTGTATTTTCCTCCTGCAGCAGCAGAATGCCGGTAGGAGAGAAAGAGAAGACAGCTTTTGTCTGCTGCAGAAGGAAAATACAGTGAATCGGTTCCCATAAATGCCACACTGCTCCTGCCCAATTTCTGGGGTCGGCAAGGAAGGGATGCCATCTACCCATCATTTACCCATGATTAACGGGTAGATCACGATTGCTAGGTTGCCGACCCCCGTCCTATCCACTACAGCTGCAGCAGCCAA